GGCCTTAAGGCGGGAGGCGGCTCGTCGGAGGTCGTCAGCGGTGAGTGCTGGAAGTGGGCACTCCTGGATGCGGTCGATGATGCGTTGGAAGGCGGCGTGCAAGCAGTGGTAGTCGACGGTGTGGGGTGCCCACAGGTCGGTCCAGGTCTGGATCTTCTGGTCGATGAGCTCCTTGGGGTGCATGATGGTGCAGCCGTCGGATAGTGTAACTTCTGCTGGTTGCGGTTGGGGCCGTAGGGAGCGGTGAAGTGTTCCCAGAGCCTCGGGCGTGGTTGCCCACTCGCTGAATGCTCGGACGGACCTGCGTATCGCCCGTTGTTGAGCTCGTTTGGCAAGGCGGTTGGCTCTTGCTGCGTGTGCAACGATGTGATCGTCGTCGGCGAGCTCGATCTGCTGCAGGAAGAAAATCCACTGGTCCCAGGTGCGGTCGTCTTTGGGTGTGACGACGCTGGCTGCAGCGGGAGGTGGCGTATCGGCGAGGCGCCGTAGGTCCCGATACAGCTGCTGGAGTTGTAGTGGGCCGTTCTTGCGAGCTCGATGTCTGTACGTATTCTGAAGTAGTGTGTGTGTATCCGTGTCCACCAGTTGTTCGAGAAGTCGGCGAGGGGCGCACTCCTCTTGCACTGCAGCTCGCGAACAACCGCGACCTGGTAACTGGGTCCTGTGGCGCGACTGGCGCCAACAAAAGGAATCTGATGGTGTGTGTGGAAAGTGCCCTCGACAGTCGCGGCCCAGGAGCCGTAAGTGTACCCAAGCTGAAGGGTCGAATCAGGCTTGAGCCGAAAGGCTACGGAGGCAGCGGCCGCAGGAGCAGGCAGCGTGTGGCTGGCTGGCAGGGCACTGACTTGTTCCCGATGGACGCTCCAGAGCACACTAGGGATTTCGAAATCCACAGCAGAAGAACTAAACTTCTCAGATCCAGGGCACGGGCCATTAGGACCTGGTTGGGGAAAGTTCGTGGCTTTGGGAAAACTGTCTGGCATGGTCTCCTCGGGTGCGACAGGCGCGCCAGGGGGGTTCTCACGCTGGACTGGTGAAAAATTCTCTGACTGCTGGACTGAATCAACAGATGGGGCGGCGGGAGCGTGAAAGGCGGGTGGGGCAGCGGAGAGGGACACTGCTGATGTGCCGAGCGAGCACTGGTTTGTCTCCACGCGGGCGGGGTTCGAGACAGCAGACGACACAGCTGGCCAGAAATTTGTCTCGTGTGCCCATGGGTCTTCCCCTTCGGAAAGCTGGGCTGGGTCGATGTCGTCGCCCTCGGAGGCGGGGCTATCGCCAGCACTGGTGGACTCAGCGTCGGCGCCATGGCCTTCGCTGGTTCGCAAATCGGCAAAAAGAGTGGCATGCAGAGACTGTTTTCTCTCGTTTGCCTTCTCCATGCGGGCTGCTCTCTGGGCTCTGGCATGACTAGCCTTAGACCCAGCAGCGGCAGCCTTGCGAGGGCGAGCGACGTGTGGCAAGCACCTCGGAAGCTGGAGTACACGTGTGAGCAACTGCTCGCCAGACTGGATGGGCTGGAGGCGCAACCCTATGTGAGGCTTCCATGGAACATCTAGCACAGGCGAGAGGCTGACAAGGTAAGGGCGGGCAGCCGCGCTGTGGACAAGGAAGTCCAAATGCGATGGCTTACGTCCTCCGCCAGGGTCGCACGTGTGTTCGACTGGGGCGCACCTGATCTCTCCTTGGACCTGTGCTAGGAACCCCGACTGAATAAGCGCTGACGGGCTTAGGTTCCAGTCGGCAAGGACAAACCACGGAAGCTGGAGGGAGCGGAGGAGGCTCCCAAGCTTCCTGAAACGGGTTAAATTGGGTCCTCTCATGCCGACACTGCAGAACCCGTAGAAAAGAACAGCTACAATGGAATATCCTCGGAGATGTAGGACGATGGGCAGGAAACCATCGAGGGAGGGGTGAGGGGGAGACTGGAGGTCCTTGGACTGGACCGCCTCGAGAAGAGGGTGGGCATGGAGATGCCCTCTGGGAAGAAACCACTCACCACCTTCGTTCGCGTGTGAAACTGCGGACATGGATCCGGCCTCTAGATGGGAATCAACTGCCCACCCTTCAGAATCAGAACGCGATGTGGGTCGGGCGACGTTGGCGAATAGCCTGCGATTGATAGACCTGAGCCTCCCTTGCCACTGTGTCACACTGGCTGCATTGGCATGGGTCTCGACCAATCCGATGTAGTCGTCACTGCTGGCCTGGATCCACTCGTGGACCTTCTCGCCGAAGCGTGTGACATTGCTGTAGAAGAAACTGCTAGTAGTGGTAGAAGAGCTGTCATCACCTTCCCCCGTGATGGTGGGGTCTCCTCCGCCTAGTCAATGCGAGGTGGCCCGCTTGGTGGCGGTGGCGCGGCCGCCGCTCTTGCCTGCTGTCGGGGTGGCTGTCACGGGGCCGCTGTCCTTGTTCATGGCGGCGTGAGCAGCGAACTTGGCGGCGGACAGGCGGGCGGCCTCGGCAGCCAGCGCGGCCTCCTCCTCCTGCTGCTGTGCCTGGGCGGCTGCGGGTGGCGGCTCAGCGCCAGCGTCGGCGGCCTCTCCCGAGCTGGGGGGCGGTCCTGCGCCAGGGTGGCCGCCAGCGGCCGGGGCAGCAGCAGGTGTGGCGGTGCTGGTGCCTGCAGGGGCACTGGCTTGGCCGTCGTCGCCTTTGCGCTTCTTCTGGTAGCGCGCCTCTCGCGCCTGCCGCACAGCGGTGGCGCGGCTGATGAGCTCTTGCACCTGGGGGCCCTTAGTGGCGAACTGCATCTTGAGCTCCTCGAGCCCCTTCTTGACGGCGTTGAGCTCCTGCTGTTCGGTGTCGGTGAAATCGAGGTCTTCGATCTGCTGGAAGAGTGCGGGATCCCACGTGACAGTGAAGGGAGCCTCGGGCGGGTGGTCGGGCTTGCCTGCGGAGTCGTTGGTGCCATCTGGGTGTCCGACTCCTTCGGCGCGCGCCAGGGCCTGGGCGGCCCTGCGCTTGGCGGCCTCCGTCTTGGCGACCACGAGGGCGGCCTCGGCTTCCTTGTCCTCTGCCGTGGCCAGTGCCTTGCGGAGCCGCACGACGTTTGCCACGACCTGGTTGTGGTGGTTGACTGCCCTGCGCCAGGCACCATCTGCCTTCCGCATGGCCTCGACCTCGCTGACCTGGGGCTCATCCTCCTGGGCGCCGAGGTGCTGGATCTGGGCTGCGAGGATGGCCTGCAGGGCGGGGTCGGTAGCAGCTGCGAGTGCCTGACGAAGATGATTGGCGAGGGTGCCCTTGTCACCAGGCGGCGTCATCGTCTCGTCGCGAGGGGCGGCGGGCGGCGGCGTATCAGGGTTGATGACCTCCTCGGGCCCGAACCTCACCTGGCTTGGCGAACGGGGGCGGCCGCGGTGCATGCGCATGGGCCGATTGCACCGCGGGCATGTGGGGGCCTGCGGGTCGAGGCGATCGTTGTACTCGCAAGTGTTGCATCCGCGGCACCGCGTCCAGAGGCGCGGGGATGGATGCCAGCCTGCAGCGCCGCGGTAGGTGCGCTCGCGTCAACATCTGACATCCTACCCCTCCCTCCCATCCCTTACCATGGCGCTGATTTTCTCTATCCGCGGACGCGTGTCGTAGCGGACCTGTGGCTCCGCGCGCGTGTGCGTAGTGGGTGGTGGTGCGCGTGCGTGCGTGCGTGTGTGCGTGGTTGTGGTTGTTGTGGTGGTGGTGTGTATGTGTGTGTGTGTGTGCGTGTGTGCGCGTGTGCTGTGGTGTGACGTGGTGTGGCGTCTTGGTGGTTTGGTGGTGGGCCAGGTGCGTACGTGCGTGATGGCGGTGGTGGTGGTGGTGGCGGTGGTGGTGTGTGTGTGTGTGTGTGTGTGTCAGTGTGTGTGTGTGTGTGTGTGCGTGTGTGTGTGTGTGCGTGTGCGTGTGTGTGTGTCTGTGTGTGTGTGTGTGTGCGTGCGTGCGTGCGTAGGTGCGTGCGTGCGTGCGTGCGTGCGTGCGTGCGTGTGTGTGTCTGTGTGTGCGCGCGTGTGATGTGGTGTGACGCGGTGTAGCGTGGTGGTGGTGGGTGGGGTAGTGCGGTGGTGGTGGCGGTGCGCGGTGGTGGTGCGCGTGCGTGCGTGCGTGCGTTGGTGGGTGGAAGTGGCGGTGGGTGTGCGTGCGGCGGGGCGGGGCGTGGTGCGGCGCGGTGGTGGCGGGCGGATGGGCGCGCGAGAAAGAGGCCCGCGCTGGGGCGAGAACGCCATCCTGAACGACGGAGGCAAAACACCGATCCGAAAATGAGGCCCACGCTGCAGCGGGAGCACGATTCGGAACGATTCGGGAGCAGAAATGAGGCCGGCGCCTCAGCGAGAGCAGCATTTTGAAAAAAAACGCAGGCGAAAACCCAACTCCCGGGAATCCTGTGTGTAAAAAACAGTACGCGGGGGGGGGGGTCTACTACTCCCAGGACGCCATCAGGGGAAGAGGGAGAGTAGTATTCATATTGAGTAATTGTGGAGGAGGGAGGAAGGAGGAGAGGAGGGAGGAGGAGGAGGAGGAGGAGGGAGGAGGAGGAGGAGGAGGAGGAGGAGGAGGAGGGTGGGATGGGGAGGAGGAGGAGGCGGAGGAGGAGGAGAAGGGTGGGATTGTGATGATGATGATGAGGAGGAGCAGAGTGGTGATGCTATGCTGATGCTGATGCTGATGCTGATGACGACGAGTCCGATGATGCTGATGGTGGATGGTGGATGGTGGATGATGGATGGTGGATGATCATGATTCTGATGATGATGCTGCTAATGATGATGTTGCTGATGATGATGCTGACGATGATGACGATGAAGAGGAGGAGGAGGCGGAGGAGGAGGAGGAGGAGGGTGGGATGGTGAGGAGGACAAGGATGAGGAGGAGGAGGAGGAGGAGGGGGAGGAGGAGGACAATGAGGAGCAGGGTGGTGGGGGGAAGAGGAGGAGGAGGAGGAGGATGACGAGGAGAAGGAGGAGGAGGAGGAGGAGGAAGAGGAGAAGGAGGAAGGTGTTGTCCCACCCCCCCGCCCCGGGTGCCTCGCTTCCGCCCTCCTCTGGCGCGGCTCCTTCTCGCAGCGGCGGCCCCTGTCAAGGTGCCGCTGCAGCTGCCGCGTGTGCAGCGAGCTGCGCTCCTGGGCCTCGCCGCCGCGGAGCGTGCGGCCGTTCGCTGTTCGCGCTCGCCCAGTAAGGTCGGTACCACCAGATGCCCACTGCTGGTGAAGCCGGGGAGGGCGAAGCAGGAGCAGGAGGACGAAGGGGAGGAGGGGTGTGCTCCAAGGGCCACCAAGCTTTAGTTTGATCAACCCCCAAGGGCCGACCGGCCCTGGGGTGGGGGGGGCGGCAGTCGGAGGCTCCTCACGCCGTCAGGAATCAGGAAGCAGTGAGGAGGAAAGGAGGATGAGGAGCCGGAGGAGAAGCGAACGATTCTGCACCACGGCGTGTACTTGACCACAGACACACGCAGGATCTAGCTAGGGTCGTCCACGACCCACCCCGCGACCCACCCCGCGACCCACCCACGTTGCTTTCTCGAGAGGATCGGCACCCGCGGCGGGCTCACTGCATGACTTGTACAAGTCAGGCGCCTGCGGCTGGCCTCTTCAGAGCCTCGCAGACTGCCGACGTCCTCGCTGGCCCCGCACTCTTAACCGCAAGTGCGGGGTGCTACGCCTTGATGGTGGCCTTCGGCCCGCCCCGCCACCGTGCATGCGTCGTGGACATGGAGGTCTCCCGGGGGGGCCTCTCGGGGACCCTCTTGGGGGGCCTCCTCGGGTTCCCTCTGGCGGCCTCTTTGGGGGGCCTCTCTGGGGTCCTCCCGGGGCCTCTTTGGGAACCTCTTGGGGGACCTCTTCCGGGGGCCTCTTGGAAGCATCTTGGGGACCTCCTGGAGGTCTCTTGGGAGCCCGCCCGGCTCGTAGCCCCCAGCACCTCGCGGCCAGGCATGCTGATCCAGACGCCGAGGTGTGCCGACCTGCCCCGCGAGACTGAGTGCCACGTCGGGTGGCAGACTCGCATGCCATCTCTCGATCGCTCCCTCCTGCCCCTCCCTCCTGCCCTGATTCGCATTCGATCCCAGCCAAGGTTTTTCGTCCGCCCGCCAGGGTATTTCGTCTGCCCGTCTGCTTCTGCATGGCCTGGCGGCGTACACACATGTATATACGCATACATACACATCCACGTGTATATACACATATGTAACACTATAGAACTGTTTGTTGGCTGGGTAACCGTTTTTACTTGCCCCACTTCTCCTCTTATTCTGTCATCCTAGCTCCTTCGCCCTCTCATCCAACTAGCCCCCTCCCTCCTCCACCATGCCCCCCCCCCCCTCGCCTCCGCCCCCGTTCTCGCCCAAACTCAATCATCCTGCTCCTCCTCTTGCCCCCCCTCCTCCTCCTATTCCTCTTCCTCCCTCTCCTCCTCCTCGTCCTCCGCGTTCCTCAGCTTCCTCCTCCTCTTCCTCCTCCTCCGCCCCCCCCTCCCCTCCCTCCCCCCCCCCCTCATGTTCCCCCTTTCTGTGCCCCCGCGTCCCCGCGGGGTGGGCGGGGGAGGCGGCGGCGGCAGTTAAACCAGCTAGTTTTGGTGTTGATGATGTTGTTTTTTGGGGGGCGGTCAGTTGTAAACGCCCATGCGTGTTTGGTGGTTTTTATGCCATCCACCTCCTCCCCCCCCCCCCTTCCCGCCTCCCTCCTCGGAGGAGTGCGAGGGGGGGTGTTTGGCTCAGGGGCGCTGGCCTTGTAGGTGTCCGCGAGCACCTCGAGCACGCCCTCGTTCGCCTTGGCGGTCCGCCTGGGGCCAACCGCCGCCAGCTTGGCCGCGCCGTCGGCGATGGACACGATCCCCCAGCTCTGCGCCCCCCCCCCCAGCCACGAGCTCCACCTCTGCCCCGATCACGAAGCCCATCCTTTGCAAGGTAGCGTCGTCCACGCCAGGCGACTCGAAGCCGCGCATCGCCGGCTCCACGGGGCCCTTGCTCTCCACGTGGCTGGCGGCCTTCACGTCGAACGGGGGGTCCATCTTCGCAGCGTCGGGGGCCAAGTCGTGCGCGTCGTTCAGCAGGTGGGGGCCGATCTCGTCTAGGGATTGCCAAACCCTGCGGGGACGAACCTTCTTGTTAAAGATGAACAGGACGGCGCGGACCTCGAAGTCGCCCAGCAGCCTGACGACGTCACTATCAGAAAGGGCGCCTGTGTGCACTCTGCTGGGCCTGATCTTCTTCATCCACTCCTTGGCACTGCGGGCCATCTCGAGGATCTTGAGCGCGACATGTTCGTCCTTCCCCGTCACCGTGGCCATGCCTGAGCCACTCAGTAGCATAGATACACCGTTCTTGCACAGCGTGTCTGGGGTCACGAAGCATGCTTTCAGCATCGCGAACACGAGCTCGGGGCCCTGCACGAACGGCAGGTCGGCAAGTAGTTTGAACGTCGTGGCAGACACGTCCTTCCTCGACTTCTGGGTCTTCGCCCAGGCGTCGAGCTCCGTCAAGTAGTTGCCAGCAGAGCCACCGCTCCAGTTGGCCACAAACGTGCATGTAGGCATGGTCGTGCCGACCAAGAACGGCCTGTCGACCTCGATGGACCTTGCAATATTCTCCCAGCCGTACTCGCCTTTGACGCGGTAGTTCCGCATCGCTTTCTGATGTACTTCCAGCATCGTCTGGACTTTCGTTTGCAGCCTTTCCGTGCCGTGCCCCGTGTTCAGCGCCTCTCGAAGCCACGCTGCCATCAATGGTCACTGCTTGTCCACGGCAGCGCGGACGACGATCCACTCCAGTCCTTTGGCTGGCGGCTCGGCCATCGCGGGGTTCGCAGCGGTGACCTTCGCGAACGCACTTCACAACCCGAGGCGCAGCGCCCTCCCACTGCAAATCTGCAGCAATGGGAAGGTTGCTCACGCTACTCAGGTTACAAAGACGCCGCGGTGCCTTCTCTGGCGAAAGCTTGCCATCCTGAGCGAGGTCGGCCAAGTACGTCGAGGCCTTCGCGCTCACGGCATTCAGCATGGCAGCTGTGCGGCTGCTCGAGATCGTCGCAAACCTCGTGTCGGCCTGGTCGACGGGCGCTAGCATGTTATCGATGGAGAGGCACGGCTGCTCGTTGAACTTGAAAGTGGCGTCGTCGGACGCATCCACCTCGAAGCGCACAGCCAGCCCAGATTTGGACCAGCTCCATCCCTGGCTCACAACAAGGAGAAGTAACGCATGCACGTCCAGGGGGTCGACACCCCGTCTGGTACCTGTTGTCCATGTGTGGGCGGCAGAACTTATTCGGGATGCGCTCCTTGCGGGCCAAGTTGTCCAGCAGAAGGGCCACCGACTCATCGGCCTTGCTCCTCATCTGGTTGAAATTACTTCCATCATTCTGCCACTTAAGCAATTGCTGAACTTTGGGGTCCACATCGCGCATGGCCTTCACCACTGAGGCCGACGTGACCAGCTCGATGTCCGATGCGACCCCTCGCGAAAGAAACGACGCCTTGAACCCGAACGGCAACGCTACATATTGAGTGGTGGGATGGGCTGTTCTTGTATGGAAATCAAGAAGCTGGTTCAACACCCGCCGATTTCTTTTATAAGAATCAAGAAGCTGATATCTGAACTGCTGATCCTAATTTCCCAAAGTCGCCAACATCCATGTTAAGATCACTGATGTCTAACTTGGTGCTGTGGATGTTTAACTTGTTTTTGGATGTAGCTAAACTGTTGAAGGGCGGTCGTAACCTCTTTAGGGAAACCCGTAAACCGTTTAGATCACAGAGCCGTAACCAGTTTACTAACCGACCCAGGCCACTTCGGTAGTATACACTAAGGAGCTTAACGTGGCAAGGCTAGCATAAAAACCTGATTAACTTAGAGCTATGTGGATAGCGCCCGTCGATGTGAAGATATAAATGTTTCGGTCGAATACAAACGGGTTCTGAACGTTCATTTACGGATTACAACTTATGTTACAAACTTCTTATATCTGATGGTAAAACATCTATCTTCATAGGAAACAGAGCGATCATTCAAGTAGAGGCGGAAGCGGGCGGGGCCGATCGGGCGGCGCACCGGCATCCAGCCAGCCATCGGCGGCCCTGGCCGCCCAGTCCCGCGTCGGCGCGGGGCTGGGCCCCCTTCCACCTCGAAGCCGCCGTCGTAGACCCCCGAGGATGCCTGGACCTAGCGTAGCCTCCACCTTGACCGTCGGGCTGCCTCCAAGGTGCTCGCCAAAGACGGGGGCTCCTCCGATCACTCCCCTGGACGTCCGGTAGCAGGTCGGTATACTGCACTTCCGCCCCGGAAACGTAGCTCGGTACTTCTGAGCGTGGTGGGCGCAGAGGCAGATCCGCGCCGCCTCTCCCCGAGCTGGGAGTGCGACGTCGGACACCTCGGCGTCCTCGGTCAGGAGGACGGCGGGCTCGGCCAGCCCCCGATCGCTGCACCCTTCGGGCTGGAGCGGGCGTGCACCATCGGCGAGCTGCACGCCCACTCGCGCCGCTAGGCACGGGCGTTCGCCCGCCTCAACTTCGCTCTCGGAGTCGGATCCGAGGGGCCGTGGCCCCGCGCTCTCGGCGATGAAACGACGCGGCGGCGGGGCCGAGCGCATCGGCCACTGCGCGGCGGCCCAGCCCGCGCCACCTAATATGCAGTGCCCAGCCGAGCATGCGGAGCCCGACGCGCACGGCTCGCCCCCAAGTGGGGCGCGCGCGCTCCCCCAAGTCCACGACCTGCGCGTTGTCGACGACGGCGTATTGATCCACGTGGAAGGGGTGGGCGGCGGCGCAGCCCGCGGCGCGGCACAGGTGCGCCTGGCCCGCCGCCTCCAAGCTTTCGCGCATGGCCTTGCTCGCACAGCAGAGGATACGGCCCACCTTGACGTTCAGGCCGTGCCGATCCAAGCGCGGCTCAGGGGTGAAATCGCAGGTGATACGGGCGACCTGGCCCTGCTTCCGCAGCAGGATGTGGTTCTGGAGTCGTCCCGTACCCCGTCCCCTCACTCCCTTGGTGCAGTACACGGACTCCGTGTCCCCCCCGATCCCGGGACCGCGCCACCGCGCGTAGACTGGGGTCGGCGGCGGCGGGGGTAGAATCGCCTCGGGACCAGCTCCCCGTCGGCGACAGCAGAGCCCAATCTGGTAGTGGGACCAGCAGAGAGCCGACCACAGCCACCCCAGGGGGGCCGTCGCCATATTGATGCAGTAGGCGCACAGCCCCAGGAATATGGCTAACATCGCGAGGGATCCGCACAGGATGGCTGTCCCCCACCAGTAACCCAACAGGGTAACGCCAGCCCGGTCGATCATCGAACCGAAGAAGCCTCCCTTCTGCCTGAGGGCCCCGATCCGCGCCGGCGTGCTAAACCAGGACGCGAACCCACTAACCTTCAGGGCCCGCGCCGTGGAGCCCAAATCGAACTCCCAGATCGGGGGCTCGCTTGGGGGCGGAGGCGGAGGCGGTGGTGTAGGCGGCGGCCCGGACGCTGGCCAGGCTCGGCCAAGCGGGGGCCCAGTTTCCCCACGCCTGGCCTCCCTCCTCGCGCGAAGCTCCCGGCGTTCCCCCAAGAGACGCAGGCTCGCGCGAGGCTCTCTCCCCGCCCGGGGCTGACCCGGCGCCGTCAGCGGCGCCTCGGCCACCTTCGGTTGGGGCCGGACCCGTGCCGCGGGGCGGCCCGGTGCCCGTAGTGCCCGGAGGGTCGCGGCGAGGCTCGCCCCGAGGCTTGCCCCCCGCGCCCGCCCGGCCCCCCCTCGCCGAGGTCGGCGTGGGTCCAACTGGCTACTGACCCCCCGCGCCCGACCTCGGCGCCTCCGTAGTCGTTGTAGCCGCGGCGGGCGCAGCGGCGCGGGGCGAACTCGCCCCCTCGGCCGGCGCGCGCCCCTTTCCGGGGGATGGCTTGGCGGCGGGTGCCCCCCTCCACCGAGGGCGGGCCTCGCTCTGGCATCGGGGCCCGGCGGCGGTGCGAGCGCGGGCCCGTCCCCGGAGGGGCCAGCCCGCGTGGATCCCCACCGCCCTTCCGCCACCCAATGTGCGCCCCCCATGGCGATCACGCTCGCGTGAACGGCGAGAATCATCCACGGCGGCATGGCCCCCCCGCGCACCGCGGGCCCCCCGCCCTTTTTGGCCGGAAGCCCACCGGTGCAACTCGTCTCGAGCTTTGCATCTCGAGCATAGTCATGAGCACGCAGCCCATCACAATGCAAAGTACCCTTAGATAGCCCAAAGAGATAGGATAAAAAGACCTGTAGGTTTCGCCCCCCCCCCCCCCAAACACGCACTGGTCTAACGTATCTACTTCGCACTGAGCTCGAGAGGCTGAACCCTTCACCCCTGCGAGTGCGAACGCCGAGGGGAGGGGGGCCTCGCCGGCGCCCACAGGGTGCCCCAGAAGAAAAGCCCCGCCCTGCGACAGCACAGGCTCGCACATGCCTAGGAAGTTGAAGAGTGGAGCGTTGGTCTCAAGGACTCGACTCCCTGCAGGGTCCCGCAGCGACGGCAGCCCCAGCAGGTAGTCGTGGCGCCGCAGCGGCGGGGGCCCGCCTGTAGGGGGCCACGTGCGAACCCCACCCCTGCCCCCCACGATTTCTGAAGGGGAGGGCGGGGATCACTTCGTCTGGGAGCTCCCGAGCGAAGTGAGCCCCCCCCCAGAAATCGCGGGGAGTAGTGGCGGGGTTCGCGCGTGGTCCCCAAGCCTGGACGACGCCGCAGGCGGCTCCAGGTAGCGCGCGGCGGGGCGCCCAGCACCACGACCAGCAGCCCAGCGTGGCCCAGCTCGAGGAGCGCCGCGACGGCGCGCGAACCCGCGAACTCCCAGCGCGCGTCGAGGGCGAGGTCCACCCCGAAGAAAAAAAGAGCGGCACGCCGTGCGGCTGGCAAAAGGTCCCCGCGCGATGTTGAACGTCTCCCTGACGACGACCTCCCGCGAAGACGTGCAGCGCGACCATGGTCCACTGGGCCGACCTCTTGAAGTAGCGCACCTTCTCGCAGAACTCGTCTACTCCCAGGCCCGCCTCGTAGCGGTCGGCGCTCCTCCTGCCGCGCTGGAGGTTAACCCACTCCTGGTCATGAACCTTCACATCCTCAGTCATCTCGCAGGAACTCATGCCCGGTTGCAGCGCGCTCTCGGTCAACTTCCTCTTGGAGTTCAAAGTCTCGCCCAGGCTCCGCACGTTGATCGCCATCAAGATGTGTACTGAATGTGAACTCCCCATCGGTAGCCGCTGGTAGCACGGAAACACCATCTCATAATCCGGAATGTGCTGCAGCTCGGGTGGGAGCTGATCGCGCACCAGGATAGCGGGCAGCGCTGGCATCGCCATCCACGGCCACCACTACGATGGGGCCACCACCGACGAGAAAGCATCCGACTCGTCGCATCTGGCGACGTGCAGGGGCCCATCTATCACTCGAAGTTGAGCAAGCGCGCCTCCGCCTCCAAGACCATGGCCTTCGCGATCTCGAACGTCGCGCCAGACATAGTTCGCGGGCACGGCCATGATCAGCTTGCGGAGCTTCTCGGGATCTTTCTTCGGGGCTGCACTCACGCCGTTGATGGCCTTGATGTCGTTCTGGCGCACGTGGGTCCACAATCGTGGTGGGGGTTCCGGGCGGCAGAGGTACTTGGCCCACTCCTCCTGCGAGCCCCCTAGGAAGCCGTAGTGCTCCTCGAGTTCTCTGAGGAGCTGCTCGCTCCTGCCGCGCCAGTCCACCGCGTTGCTCTCCTCGGCGTAGACGAGGGCCTCCATCTCCGGCAGGGCGTCCAGCATCTCCACAGTCCGCAAGGCGGTCACCTCGTCGATGCGGTCCGCCACGAAGGTAGCGTGCACCTGCCGCTTGGACGCCCTCGCGTAGGTGACCTCGCTGAGTTTGAGCAGCCCCCTCATCGCTTGCACGCCTGTCACCATTCCTGGCCGGCGAGCATCGGCAAACTCCTGGGCCATGCGAATGGCGCACAGTTGACCTTGCCCTGCCGCTCCGTCTGGTCCTCGCTAATCTCGTCGCTCGACGGCGCGGCCAGCCTGCTCCTGTAAGCCTCCAGCGTGAACACGGTTGATCGCTTCTAGACTCTCATTGGCCAACTGATGAACTGCTCGTCGACGAGTTTCCCTTTACCTGATTCGTCCTGAAGCCGAACGTGACCTCGAAACAAGACAGGGCAGCAGTGGCAGAGGGAGCAGGGAGCCTCCCTCTCGCAGCAG